TTACTCTTTTAAAAGTTAGCCTGCTAACAACTGAGCCAGACAGGAGCACATTTTCTGAAGAGAACAACATTTACATATACAATACATATGCTTTTTTTCCCAAACATAGTGATTACAGTCAAAGTATATGAAATGTGTAGGTCTATTAGTTGAATCACTTGCATTGCTGTTGTTGGTGGTCTGTTATACGTTGTCTTGAATCTGTGATGAAACCAATGGTTTATTGCCCCTGATATGATGGTTAAGAAATACCTCAATTTGAAATCACCACCACAGGAAGGCAGCGGGCTTTGCAGCCACCTCTTTGCAGGACCGCAATTTCCTCTGTGATCAGTTGTTGTTTTTAACCTTGTTAAATTGCATTAATAGGATGTTTGTACACAGAGTTGCTAGTGAAGAAAACATTGTACTCCTGTCTTCTCTATATTCTACACAAGTGTACTGTAGTGCACATGGCCTGTCCTGCACAACAAGCACTTTTAGGTCAAAGAATGGTTAGGACTTGTTAGCTTGGATTTCCCTCCATGTCGAAGGCACTTTGTGGTTGTGGCAGGTTGAACTAGCAGGTTACATGGTCATGCAGTCACTGTGCCCATTGAAGGTATTCTATGAAATGGTTATACAGTAATAGTGAGTTTATAGAGAGTATTATTAAGAGTATTAAGAATATTGTCTGTCCTATTTTGTCGGCGCAATAGTTCTATTGCAAGTTGCACCTTAAAATGATTTTACATTTGGATTTTTTCAGTAAAAATATAAGGCTATTTCATAGAGCTAAAATATATTAATTAAAATACCGTACTTTCCTATATCTTTTCCTAGTGTACTGTATGCAATGGTTCAATTGTAGCTAAATGAATAATAATTGAGGTATGTTGTAATGTCTTGTTGACATGTAAGATTTGTTGACATTGTATATATTGATTTGATTTAGTGAGCTGTATACAGTACATATGTTGATCTTTATGAGATGTAAGCATGTTGTTTTCTTTCTCAGATTTGTTTCAGATCAGCTGATATGCAAGAGATTGTTTAATCCAGATCCAAACTGTGGTAAAGACTGTTATCACATGGTCTTGACTCTTCCTGTTTTCTCCTCATCTCATTTTAACAGTCCAGTCCAGCAGCAACCACTTCCTTGTCCCAATTTCAGCCTTTACATTTGTCTTTCTGTTTCATGAAGCAATATAATTAAGGCAGATGGCAACCCACTACTTACAGCTGTCGTGATTACAAATTATGCTTTTCTAATTTGGTATGTTTAGAGCAAATTCCATATTTAGTTTTTTACTGGCCTTGTTTAAGCCACAGTGTCATCATCCTAAATGTTCTGTCCAAATGTGCAAGCTGTGGTGTAATAAAAGACAGTAAATGTCTGCCATCTTTGTTAGTTGAGATGCTTTTACAGGAACACAGATCACACTGTCTGAATTCTAGGCTAGTTCAAGTTTAAAATTCAACCCTGCTGTCTGTCTCTAGAAGACATTTGGCTTTTGTAAATAGGTCATTATAAAGTAAGTAGGCCAGTTCTGGCTCCTGAGAATCGGCTCTCTGAACAGAAACAGAAAGGTCACATTTAGTTCAAAGTGTTTTATTTGTCATATGCACAGTTAGGAAACTTGTTTCCTTGTACAAATTCTTACTTTGCCGTCCACATGAATGCCACAAAATACTAATGAAATATTAAGTAGATAAATAAGTAACACAAAATCTAAGACACTTTAAGCAGCAAATGCAGCAATATAATAAAAATATATAAGAAT